CCATACATCTAATGGTTGATAATACAGATAATGAATGCAAATACCAACTAATCCACAGAATCCACAAAATTATCAGAACATGGATAAATATTTACATCAATTAATTCCATAGCAAGCATAATAACATTGGCCAATTATCATGCTTATATTCTCAGTCCAACAATTGATGCGATAAATGCTGAAATTTAAACATCAATTTAATCCTTAACAAGCATAACAAAAAAAATATAAGATTTGACATGCTTATTTCTTTTCCATCTATACATGATTTGAAACATATAATCATTGACAAAAAATTGCTAAAAATAAGTCCAAGCAATTTAATTATCCATAGCCAAAACCAGTTAAGAAATTTCAATTATTCAAAATTCCTACCAATATAGAGTTGAGGACACTGTGTTTTAAACTGCACCTCTAAACCATCCAAAACCTACCATCATAGTCCCTAACTGAAGTCTGAAACCCTAAAAATCCATTCACAGTAGCCCAAAACTCACTGGAACTAACAGAAAAATAAAAATAAAAAAATAGAAAAACTAAGGGAGCCGCCTCCATCACCCATGGAGCCGGCTCCCCACCTTGGGGAGCCGCCTCTTTGCTTAGGGGAGCCTGTTCCCTTCAAACAGGAGCCGGCTCTCTTCCTGTTTCTTCATCGTTCACAAGTCCGGCGACTTCCCAAACAACTATCCCCCATTCCCCAGGGTTCCTAGGTGTCTGAACTAAATTCTAGTGTGTTCCAGAAATAATTTAATTCTTTATTCATTCACCGACATCCATCGAAACATGAATTATGCAAAAAGAATTCAGAACGAGAAAATACTCATTCATGAACACGTACTGTTAAAAGCAAACCAACCATGCGAACCAGATTAATCTTAATGATTTCCAAGGTGTTCCAAAGCTAACCAAATTCCGTATTCCTCAATTGTCATCAATTAAATCATGAATTATACAAGAAGAAAATAAAACAAACAATTAACAGTTCATACGCACGTATTGATTAAAACAATGTAAACATGCGAACCAAATTGATTTGAATCTTTATCTATTCCTAGAATTGAGTTAGACATGTAAAAAACACGAGCCAAAGGGAGAGAGTTAGGAATAGAACTTGCCTTTAGGTCTCAGTCTAAAACCTTGCACTTTCGTCTTCCTAAATTCTTTGGCGCAATCCGACTACTGTAAACCCTCATCTGTTCTCTCTCTGCCTCCACTGTCGTGAATAGGGTTCTAAAACCCTGGGCAGAACTTAATACGTATATTTATAGGCCACACTTAAACCTAAGTCAAAGTGTATTTAGAGACGGAGAACTAAGTCGGCTACCTAGTCTCCAAAAAAAATATAAAACCCTAAACCATTATACAAACTATCATTAACAATTAAATCAGATAAATAAAACAATTCACCTAAGCGTAGATATAAATGAAACAAATAAAACCAACAAGTAAATAAAACCAACACAATTAACCAATTAATGAAATTAAACAACAATTAATCAAATCAAATAAGGCAATTTAAATTCACAATTTAAACAATGAAATCAGATAAATAAAACAATTAAATAATAAGCAAATAAGCAATTAAACACACAAAAATGAAATAAAACAATAATTAAAATGTCGAGACTATCCTTTTAAAATTAGGGGTATTACAGATAGCTCAACCACGCTAGAGCAATCTCCTTAGTTTCCTCTAGGTTATATTAACACCACGACCCTTTGGTAGCTCCGCGGCAACCGGGTTTTCTCAAAAATAATTTTATCAAAATTTATTCCCAAAAATCCCTTTCACTTTCATTTCAAAACACTTTTCCCTTTTCTTTCATGCCCAATGCTATGGATGCATGCCATGTATTTTTTTTTCAACAGTATGAAAATAGAGGAAATTTACACTTCACAATTTAACATGTTTCTTTATAGAAATTTCTAAGAAAATAATAAACACCATGGCATGGAAATTAACATTTAGGCATGCTTCTCACATAATACCATCAACACATATAAGCATAAACTTTCTTTTACAACAATTATATCATTTTCAATCAACACTTAAGCATGTTTTTCATACACATCAATTAATACATAAAATCAAGAACTTTATACACCACAATAAAATCATTCTAGGGTTAATTAATATCAATTAAACATTTTAGCAACAATTAACAAGAAATTGACTCATAAAGGAATAAAAAATTCAGAATTAGAAACTCCTACCACAAATTAAGCCAAAAACCCCCAAATGGGTCTCAAAACTGGAATCCCTAGAGTGCACTAAAACTAAAATTGCTTATATGGATGTGAAGATCTCACCTTGCTCTTTGAATTGCCGCAAATGGCTTCCAAAAATTCCAAGTAATGAAGGAGAAATCAAATTTTGAAGCTTGAAACCCAAAAAAAAAAAAAAATTAAAATAAAATTTCTAGAATGGGAGAGAGAGAGAGAGAGTCCAGCGGGAGAAGAGAAAGAGAAGTGAGAAATGAGGCCAAAAATGCCTCTTTGACCATTCTTAAAACATTCATGTGGGCCCCACCTTTATTTTAAAAAAAAAAAATTTCTTTTCTCTTTAATTTAAACCACAATTGCTCACATATATACACATATTTATCCACAACCACTTAAGAAACATTAATTTAAAATAAATATGATGCAAATGGACCCAATTAAAATCTCCGTATGCAACAATTCCGGTAGCGGGTCCCCGCGGGACTGTCCGGTCCGAAAAACGGAAAAAATGCAAAAATAACTAACCTTTGCATTTCAAAGAGTTCTCGAATCAATGAAATGCTCCAAACAATTCTTGGACATAACCGGCACACTCCGCAGTGTCCGGTACGAAAAATGTGAAAAGACAAAAATGCCCTTGCAACAATAAAAATTCTGGAAAAAATAGAAAATGACTAAATTCAGAAGTATAACATATCAATAGTAAAATAAAGCAAGTCGTCATTCTCCCATTCGTTGTAAAATAATTACATGGTCTCACTTTCCTTTAATATACTATCATGAGTTACAGTTACATTACATGATCATGATTTATGAAATGAATACTCTCTACAAAAATTTGAGACTTTACAAAGAATAGGTCCCAATAAACAAAAGGCACAAAAATAAATTCCTAGTCTTTCTCATGCTTGTGAAGGGTCGGCGTCCACTACTTCCTTTCCCTACCATGAAAAATATTAAATGGTAGGGTGAGCATTAAGCTCAGTAGGTGGTGCCTAAGAAATACCTCTTGAAGCCCTGTAAATCTAAATAATGAATAAGAATAGATAGCGATCATTTTAAGCCGGGGAAAAATTACCACATAAATTTCTCAAGTTCAAAAACTAACAAAATCGTCGTGCCATGAATGCAATGCCATGTATGTAACTCCCCATTTTCAATTCACTTCAAATCTTCACTTTTCAAACCGTTAACTTAGCCCGTCCCTCGATACCCTCTTGGCGACACGAGAGAAGGATTGGCTACAGTCCCTGACCCTTGGTAACTTCGTGGCGTCATTTGGGGCCCAGATAGCTCAACCACGCTAGGGCAATCTCCCTAGTTCCCTCTAGGCTATATTAACGCCACGGACCCTTGGTACCCCCTTGGTGTCCGGGTTTTTACAAAACTCATTTCTCAAAACTTTTTTCCAAAAACTCCTTTCTTTCCATTTCAAAACAACTTTCCCATCTTCCATACCCAATGTTATGCATGAATACATTATGCTATTTCATGTCATATCATTATTCATTATCATATACCAAATTTAAGTTCATATTACATGGCATAATTTTACAAGAAATCCCAAAAGAACATCATGTTTTCACAATATGAAATTTTGCAAATTCTAAATACAATAGGCAAGAACTTTACCAATTAAGCATATTAATTTACACAATGTCAACTACACACAAAATCATATGCTTCATATACACAATTAAATCACTTTAGAGTAAAATCAACATAAATTAGCAGGCTAGGAAACTAATTAAATAAAATAAACTCACAAAGGTGCAAGATTGTATGGATTAGAGACTCCTACCTCAAAATAATCAAAAACTCCCAAATTGTGAGCCCTAGATCTCAAAATTCCAAAGTACACCAAATAAGAAATTGCTCCGATCAATTCGTAGATCTCGGCGTGATCTTTAATTTGCCGCAAACGGCATAAAAAAATTCCAAGCAATGAAAGAGCAATCAAAGCTTGAAGTTTTTATGTGAAAAAGAAAAGAAAAATCAAGAAATAGAGAGAGAAAGAGATGGTGCCGGGAGAAAGAGAGAAAAATGAGACCAAAAATGTGGTCTCATAGCTTAAAATGATCAAATGGTGGGTCCCACCTATTTTATAAAATTTTCCTTTTTATTTTTCTCATTAATTCCCTCCACAAATTATATCTGCATCAACTATAAAAATAGTCACACACAACACATTAAATAAAATAAACTTGATGCAATTGGACCCAACCAAAACCCCCCTACGCAACAATTTCGATAGCAGATCCCACACGGAACCGTCCGGCCCGAAAAACAGAAAAATGCAAAAATGACCACCCTTGCATTTCAAAGAGCCCTGAACTCAGTGAAATGTCCCAATCAACTCTTGGACACAACTAACACACTCCACGGTGTCTAGCACGCAGATTGAGAAAAGACGAAAATGCCCTTGCAAAAACAGAAAATTCCAAAAAATAAAAAATGACAAAAATCGAAAACATCACACTCTACCCGTCGTCCTAATGGTATTCGTACCATTGCTCTGACACCAAATCTCTAACGACCCAAACCCAGGGGTCCGAATCGCTAACTGAGTCCTTAACCGAACCCAAGGTCAACTAAGGACAACACCATCTTTTCCTACGTCAATACTTGACACACGAGTCAGTCTAGGGTCCAAAATACTCCAAAGGCACAACTTTACGAAGATGGTCAAATGAACAAGTCAAAGGGGAAGAATCAGCCGGCTCGACCTGCTGACGAGGCTAGATCGATCGACTGACCTATATAGTCGGTCAGCTGAAATGGTGGTGCAAGGTGCAAACTCTCGGGACTTTGCTACAGTGGTGCATAGATCGGCTAGTGGTAAGGTTTGGTCGGCCAAACCTGGGTTTCGGTCGGCTGATGGTGAGATTCAGCCGGCCGAAATAAGGCTCCTCACAACCCAACTCTCTGAAATAGTCTCAGATGGCTCTGTCGTTCTGCTGATCCTCCTTGTCAGCCGACCGACAAACCCTGAATAGCTGCTATCTACAACTTGAAACATCAAAAAGGCTAGGCTCTTTGTGAACGAAACTGTACTTAAACCTGGAATAAAACCAAGTCCAAATCCACGGCAATAGTGCAGAGCATAGTACAGTTAAAAGAAATCTATAATTGGTCAAAATATAGCTTCATTTCCCATTCATCTCTACATGATTACTTAGTTCCAAATATACATCAAGTGTTGTCATGAAATTATAGTTACATTGTAAAAGAAATACACTCTTAGTTTTACAGCTTTACAAAAGAATGGGTTAAGATATAAAAGAAAGCAAAATATGAAAGCTCTATTCTCCTTTAAGCTTGTGATGGGTCGGTGTCCACTACTTTTTTCCCGTGTCCTGAAAATATTAAATATAAGGGGGTGACCAAAATTGCTCAGTAGGTGGTGCCTAAGACACGCCTCTTGTAACCCCATGAATCCAAACAATGAGTAGGAATGAAGGATGGGGGTCATGCTATACCGGGAAAAGATACAACATAAATTTTTAAGTTTTACACAAACAATGCTGTACCATGAATGCAATGCCATGTATGTCGCTCCCCATTTCCAAAATCCAAATCCATCACTATTCAAACTGTTAATATAATCCATCCGTTGGTGACTCCACAGCGACACGAAAAAAGGATTGGCTACTGTCCCTGACTCTTGGTACCCTCACGGTGTCATTTGGGGCCCAGATAGCTCAACTACGCTAGGGTAATTCCCCAAGTTCCCTCTAGGTTACATTTACACCACGGCCCTTTGGTGACTCCGCGGCGACCGGGTTTTTAATAAAATCACATTAATTTAAACTTTGCCCCAAAATCCCATTTTAATTTACTTCAAATCATTGGCCTATTTCATGCCCAATGCCATATATGCATGTCACATACTTTGCCATTGTTATGAAAATAAAAGAATTTATACTACACAACTTAACATGCTTTCTCATGGCAATTTTCCAACAAGTTAATAAGCATCATAGGCATGAAAATTTAACACTTAAGCATGTTTTTCATACAAATTCCACATAATTACGAATTTCATACACAACATTTACATCATTTTAAAGGTAATCAACACCAATTAAACATGCTAGCAACAATTAACAAGAAATTAAGTCACAAAGGCACAAGAAAACATGAATTAGAGACCCCTATCTCAAGAATTGCAAAAACTCCCAAATTTGTGCACTAATCTCAAAATTTCAAAGTACACCAAATAAGAAATTGCTCCAATCAAATCGTAGATCTTGACGCGTTCTTTAATTTGCCGCAAACGGCACTCAAAAACTCTAAAAGATGAAGGAGAAATCTAGGATTGAAATTCCACTTGGAAAGAAAAAGAAAAATGAGATGAGAAATGGGGGAGAGACAGAGTTATAGGAGAGAGAAAAAAGAGAGAGGAAATGTGAGGCCTAAATGGTCTCTTGGCCTTAAAAAGTGGTGGTAGGTCCCACCACTAAAATTTTATTTCTTTTTCTTTTATTTTCATTCTCTTTTTGCACCACACAAATATATATCTATACAAACTATATAAAACCCATATAAATTACATTAAATAAAATGCATTAGATGCCAATGGACCCAACTAAAATCCATGTATGCAACAATTCCAGCAGCGGGTCCCACCTGGGACCGTCCGGTCCGAAAAACTAAAAAATGCCAAAATGGCAACCCTTACATTTCAAAGAGTCATGAACTCAATAAAATATCCCAATCAACTCTCGGACTCACCCGACACACCACACGACGTCCTGCACACAAAACGAGAAAAGATAATGCCCTTGCAATGACAAAATTCTGAAAAATAAAAAATGACGTAATTCAAAAATATTACATGCCTAGTGGTCCGTGGTGTTAGTGTGGTCTAGAGGGGAGATAGAGAGAGACTCTAGTGTAGTTGAGTTACCTTGGCCCAAACGACGCCATGGAGGTGCCATGTGGTCGGGGAAAGCTAGTCAACCCTCCCTTCGTGACGCCTTGGAGGTGCCATGGGTCAGATCGCACTAACTGTTTGGAAGTTGAAATGGTATTATTTCGAAAATGGAGAGCGACATTACATGGCATGGCATTGCATTGGCATACATTGTATATTTGGTGGTTATACGACTTACGTATGTATTTGTTGATTATTATTGTTACTTCACTTGTTTTCCCTGAGACATGATCCCATTTACTTCTACTCTATTCCTTATGTGGATTCACGGGGTCATAAGAGGTGCGTCTTAGACACTTCCTACTAAGCTGTTTGCTCACCCCATCATTTTAATATTTTTCAGGTCATGAGAAGGAAGTGGCGGACGACGTTCCTCCACAGATTTTGATGGGTTAGTGGACTGTTTAACATATTTTGTAGCTATAATCTCATTTTATTATTATTATTATTATTATTATTTATAAACCCTGAGATGACACGTATATTATGTATTGACATATGAAAGGATGGTAACGTCTTTAATTGACCTCGGGTTCGGGTTAAGACCCGGTTAGTAATTCGGATCCTCAAGTTCAGGTCATTACAGACTCATACTTATCGTTCTACCAAAATTGATTCCTGGCAATCCTTGGCTTTATGCCTCTCCGTTCAATAGCTCTCGACCTCAGACTTACTATTGATCTTTGTAGAAGGATTGCTGGTAGATCAAACAACTCGTTTTACGACTCCCCCGTCCAACAGCTCTCAACTTCAGGCTATTGAAGATTTGGAGAAAAATCTTACAGTATTGATGCTCTTTCCTATTATCTTTCCTATTATTGAAGATTTACTGTTATATTTGTTACTGAATGAATCAATGGAGGAAAATCCTTCATTATTGAAATTTCCTTTTATTAAAGATACTGGAGGAATTTATGGAGAAAAATCTTTCGGTATTGATATTGTTTCCTATATTTATCCCTTTCTATTCTTATTATTTCTTCTCCAATATAAAGGAGTTTCCACCATTGTATTGAGCATGAAAAGAGAGATTATTATAATAAAAGATATGTAGCCCTTTTGGGCTTTGTGTGCCGTGGATGTAAGCGCTAGTGACTGAACCACGTATATTCTTGCCTTGTGTTCTTCATACTTTGTTTCTCTATTCAATTTTAACATGGTATCTCTTTGTTCATTTCTCTTTTTTCATCAGAGCCATTTTTGGTTATCTTCTCGAATATCTAGATCCATTTTTATTGAGGTGGTCTTTTTACACCTCTTCATCAATCAAGGTTGTTGCTACTTGTTTCGGATCTTCGAATTCATTTTTTAATGAGGTTGTCTTCTTACACCTCTTCATCAATCGAGGCTGCTGCTACTTGTCTTGGGATCTTTGGATCCATTTTTATTGAGATCATCTTGTTACACCTCTTCATCATTTGCACTTGCTGCTACTCGTCATCTCAATGGCAAGTTGAACATTCATGCTATTCATGCCCCAACTTGAGGGGGAGTGTTGAAGATTTACTGAAAGAATCAATGGAGGAAAATCTTCCAGTATTGATGCTCTTTCCTATTGTTGAAGATTTACTGTTATATTTGTTATTAAAGGAATCAATTAGGAAAATCCTCCATTATTGATATTTCCTTTTATTGAAGATACTGGAGGAATTTGTAGAGAAAAATCTTGAATTATTGATGTTGTTTCTTATATCTATCTCTCTCTATTCTCACTATTTCTTCTCCTATATAAAGAAGTTTTCACCATTGTATTGAGCATGAAAATAGATATTATCATAATAAAAGTTATGTAACCCTTTAAGCTTTGTGTGCCATGGATGTAAGCCCTAATGGCTGAACCATGTATATTATTGTCTTGTGTTCTTCATACTTTGTTTCTCTATTCAATTTTAACATAGGCTTAAAAAATTAGGGTTAAAGGGAAGGCCAACGGCCAAAACCGTTTTCTCGGAATTTGAAAAGACGCAATCTCGTTTAAATGTCAGCTATGAGCTTGTTTGAGTTCAAACAACTTGTAATCAAGCACTTGCTAACTTTTTTTTTGTAATTTTATAAACACAAGCTTACTCTTGATCTCTATAATCAAACAATACTTCATGGATGCTTTGACTCTTTCAAAATGTAATTGAATCACCCATTTTCTTTAATTCTAAATTTGATGTGGAAGAATAAAATCCTGCTTTTCAGAATCTTCGATATGCTCTAATTCCAATCAGATAGAGAACACTACCATAAATCACTCATGTATTTATATGTGTGCTCTCAAAATTAAATTCAGAAAAATCAGGTTTGGTTTTCTAAATTAAAATTATCACTCAAAGGATCTCACAAAATCTCTAAAATTTTAGTTCCAAAAAGCCATACAAAACCTAAAGAGTAAAATTGTTTATATAGATTTTTGAAGAACTAATTGTACTTGGAAAATAAGAAATTTCCGTGCATGTATTATCTTACAAAAATCTAGCCAAAAAGATAAACCAATTTGGACAAGGTTTGAAACTTACCTTTTTGGTCTGCTAGAGCGCAACCATTTGCGTAGGGCGCAACCTGTTCCACTTGAAAAATGTGTCTTGTAAAATGCCTAGGCGCGCCCGATCCGTTGTGGTAGTGAGATTTTCCTAACAATATTTGGGAAACGAAAGATTATCACTACCAAAACTCACCAGAAATAAAAATAACATGTTAACGTATCCTCACCAGCATACCTTCTCTAATATGATATTCTCAAGCTAATCAACATTGAACGCATATTGGTAGTATGTTGTTGTTTCGTTTCCAACATTGAGACCCAAAAGCAAAACAAAGATTACAACTTGATTGGATATTTTTTGACACCAAAATTTGTCAATTACAAAATTTATAGCTCACATAAAAGCCTATTGTGATGCCTGTCCTGTTCCCTAGTCTGTTTTTTTTTTTTTTTTTTTAAATAAAATAAAAAATGGGTAATATATGCAAATGTATTCAAGCAGAGATAATTAAATGTATTTGATGTCTAATTAACTAGCCCAAGTGATTGTGACACATTTGATGCAGAGCTAAGTCGTTCATGGACAATTCGACTCGTGTGTAAGCTTATATGGTTAGATCCCTAGGCATTTAAGCATATTCCACTGGGCATCTTGTTATTTAATGATCAGTGCCAAATCATCCTTTGGTTTAATCTCCTTTTTTTAAATAAAAAAAAAGGGTTGACAAAAACATGGATATTGTCGAACTTTCCAAAACCAAAATTTTTTCTGCTACTACATAATTAAGCATCGGTTAATCACTTAATCCTGGCTAAGGTGAAGAGAAAGTGAACCTCTCTTATCTCTGTGTTTCTCTCAAAATGGAGAGATTGGTTATGATGTTATTAGTTTTATTGGCTATTCTATTCCAAAAATCTCATTCCAAAGGTATGTTTATTCACTAAGAATGCATGGTGCATATTTTATTTTTGGTTCCGCATACGTTCAGGCGTTAAACAAATGAACTCGTTTCATTTACTTAACAAGCTTAAAAATATAGTTTTGAGTTTGATTCAGTTGCTTCACACTTGAATACAAAGTTACAAACCAATCTCTTGATAGAGTTTAAGTGGAGGCTGTTGAGCTATTTATGAATATCTCGGTTTATTTGTAACTTAACTACTTATATGATATTCTTTTCAAATGCAGAATCCCTTACGACGAAACTGAACATTGACTGCGGAGCAACAGACGCGGACATCATATGGGAAATGGATGATAAGTTCATAAAAAGTGGACAAAAAATGCTAATCAACACAACCATTACTCTTCAAGAAATGACCACCCTCAGATATTTCCCTCATGGCACTAAAAATTGCTACAATTTAGCATTGCAAAGCCCAGGAAGGTACCTAATGCGAGCTGGATTTTACTATGGAAACTATGATGGTCTCTCAAAGCCCCCAGCCTTCGATCTCCACATTAACGTTCAGTATTGGACGACGGTTAAAAGTACTTTAAGCGACGATCCAATTTACGTGGAAATGATTTACCCAATAAAGAGGGACAAAGTTAAAATATGCCTTGTTCGAATTGACAATGATTACAAATTCATTTCTTCTCTGGAAGCCAAAATTATCCCTCGCGATTTCTACCGATTGATGGACAACCACACATTTCTTAATCTCATAGCAGAATTCACTTCGGTGGTGACCACGATGTTGGGTAATTTGTCAACTCACCCACTCAAAAAGTTTGGATTACATGTGTGACAAAATTTAATTAACAAATTACTCAAAGTAATGAATCATACTGAAAAAATACTACATTGCAGAAAATCAGAGAAGTTTGGCTTCAACGAAGATTTCACCCGCATTTGGAAGCTGAAACAAATGCAAGACTACTACAATGTAACTTCTGTTAGAATTCCATTAGGCGTGTCTTCAAGCACAGAGAATTGGCCTCCATATATGGTTGTAGCAGATGCGATCGGTCCTCCAAATGGTTTTTCAATCTCCATGTCGCTCGATCTTGGTCCGCGAGTTTCACAAGCTTACTTTGTGTTTTACTTCAAGGAGCCAGATCAATGGGGACATTGGCCGCCGGAAGATCGCATTAGGAAAGTTCAAATTTCAATAGATGATCAGCAAATGGCCATCACTGATGTCCCCCGATTTGACAGAGACGCCATACGAGTTGTGTCACTCTACCCGGTCCCGGTTGCAGGGTCTGCCAATGTGACACTGGAAAGTGCAGAAGGGTCAGCACTACCTCCTATCATCAATGCAATGGAGGTGTTTACTTCAGTGGAGTTGTCAAGAGCTGAACCTGCCCATCACTGTTCTTTTATGGTTCTAGCTTTGCTTCATGTCTTGGGGCTTTCTATGTTGTTTGGATAAATGTGTTTCATTTTTAAGCTAGAAGCTAGGGACTGCTAAATGTTTATGGCACATAGATCATTTTATTCATTGACTACTTTTGGTCAGGTAAGTATTCACACACACTTTTGTCCACGTTCGGACTCGGGTTTGAACTCCTCCCTTCTCTTTGAGAATGTGACCATTTGCTGACATCAGTATTTCTTGTGCAAGGAACTCGTGTTAAGAGCTAGCGAATATTATAAATTTGCATCAGTTTTGGTGATAGTATATAACAACTCTTATAATTTCTTAATTACCCAAAAAATAACTCTTAACCCCTGTTTCATTACCATAGTTTTGGCAATATATATATGGTTGTTCTTTTAGAAAAGATAAGATTGCATTGAAAGAACAGGAACTGTACAAGCAAGACGAGGCAACAGCCAGCAAGCTGCAAGGCAAATACAACAAAATACAAACAAACACAGCAATACAACAAAATACAAACAAACACAGCAACACAACAAAATACAATCATATATATATATGCCTCAAGTTCATTATTATGCATATCTGAGGGTTGCCTTGTCTTGCTAGCTAGAAAGTAACAGATCATAAATTGGTGAGTCAAATTCCCCTCAACAGCACCATATGCCTCCCTTGTGCCTTTAATCTTTATTCATGTAACTGGTTCTTCGTTTTCCCCCATTCGTGTAACTGTTGAGGAAGAGGTATACCTGCCTAATAAATTAGAATCGGTTTAGAGATGTTTAATCTTTTAATTTAGCTTTCTTTTTATTTTATTTTAATTTTTAGTAATTTTAATTTAGCTTTATTGGCTAAATAAGGGTTTAGAATGGAAGTGGGAGGATGGCAATTTGGTGAACTATTTAAAGTGTAAAAATGATAAGTAGTTCGAGAGTCGGACACATCTGTTCATCTATGCAATGTGAGTTCCAAACTGTGTATCACGACAGGATCGAATACAAAAATACTCTTCTTAAGAAAATCTCCTCAATCTAACAGTTCAGTTGAAAGGGTTTTAAGATGGATAATGGATTCCCCTTGCCTGCTCAATTGTGTTGTCTTTTAAGATGTCTATTGAGGGAGATTGAGCAGCAAAGCCTAGTAAAGACACAGCAATCGTTAGTTGGGATGACATTCAACTGCTCCTTAGCAAGTATCCCACTCAGTCATTTCAACAATGAGCGAAGGAGGGAAGAAAAGATATGTCAAGGTGTTTTTTATGTGCTATATCTGATTATACTTCGAGTTGATTTGATAGATGATATAAAAAATAAAAATATATAAAATACAATCAATAATATGAGGTTGACAAATAAGATAAGAGAACAAGAAACAAACGAAGGATGGTTTGGAGTCAGTCCCATCCAAACTACTCATTTGCAGCTTTACATGTATGTAGAGATAGAGATAGTAGATCCTTAGGTATCTTGTGTTAATCTCTTGTTTATAATATTTGTAATGTTTTTAATTTTTATCATTTTTTATTTTATGAAATTTTTTGAATTTTTTTAGGGTAATTTTGTCTTTTCTCATTTTGCGTGCCAGACACTTTAGGGTACCGGATGAGTCCCGAGAGGTGGAACCCGTTACCGAAATCACTGTGCACGGGAGTTGTGTCACTAGTTTATTACATTTCATGCATTGTTATTTTGTATAAATTTACGTGGTTGTATGTTAATTTGTGTGGCTGCAATTTAATTGGCGTGTGTGTGTACGGGATGAGTCCCGAGAGGTGGAACCCGTTACCGAAATCATTGTGCACGGGAGTTGTGTCACTAGTTTATTACATTTCATGCATTGTTATTTTGTATAAATTTACGTGGTTGTATGTTAATTTGTGTGGCTGCAATTTAATTGGCGTGTGTGTGTGTGTGTGTGTGTGTGTGTTACCGAAATCATTGTGCACGGGAGTTGTGTCACTAGTTTATTACATTTCATGCATTGTTATTTTGTATAAATTTACGTGGTTGTATGTTAATTTGTGTGGCTGCAATTTAATTGGGGTGTGTGTGTGTGTGTGTGTGTGGGACCCACCACTATACCACATCATTGCTTAAGGTCAAAAGGTCATTTACAGACTTCATTTTCTATTCCTCTCTGCGGCAGTATGTTTGCTCTCTCAACTTTTTTTCTTTTTTCTTTTTCTTTTCACAAGCTCAAGTTTGATCAAGACCATCATTTTGATCAAAGCTGATTTCCTTTTGGACCACATTTGGATTTCAAAAATTTAGACATAATTTGGGGCTTTTCTCATCTTTTGAGGTAGGGGTTTCTAATTCACATTTTCTTGGATTTTAGTGAATTATCTTTCATTAATTGTTATAAAACATGCCTAAATTTTGTGGATTCTTGCAAAGGTGACTTAATTGTTATACAAGTGATGTGTCGTTATGTGTTAATTGTTATTTGAGGAGAAAGCATGCTTAAATGATGTATATGAGAAATATGATTATGTGTTAGTTGATGATTTATGTATAAGTATGCCTATGTGGAATAGAATTTGTGCCTTGTATGTTTACTATATTAAATCATTGTTGAATGAAAGCATGAATTATGCATTTTGAAATTTATTATGGAAAGCATGTGTGAAATTCAATAGTTGAATTATGTTTAGAAGCATTCATGCATCCATTGGGAAAGAAAGAGAAAAGGAAAAGTGTTTTTGAACCAAATGAAATCGTTTTGAGAAAATTGTTTTCGAAAAGTGTTTGGAAAAACCGGACGCCTAGGAGGCGCCTAGTGATCCGTGGTGTTAGTGTAGTCTAGAGGGGACTAGAGATTGAGCTAACTAGGCCGGATGCGACGCTTTGGAGGTGCCTTGTGGTCATGGATAGTTAGTCAATCCTCCCTTCGTGACGCCTTGGAGGTCCCTTGGGTCGGATTGCACTAACGGTTTGGAAGTTGAAACAGTAATGTTTCATAAAATAGGGAGCGACATGGGCATGGCATTGTATTTCATTGGCATACATGGTATAAGTGTGACTTGAATGACAATTGTGGTTATATTTGACGTTGTGGTTATGGATTATATCCCCAGTATAGTATGATCCCGTTCTCTTGATTTTTATTCTATACGTGGATTCACAGGATCATAAGAGGTGTGTCTTAGGAACCTCCTACTGAGCTTATGCTCACCCCAATATCTTAACATTTTTCAGGTCACAAGAAGGAAGTGGTGGACGATGCTCCTCCACAAGTTTAGATGGGTTAGTAAACTGTTTTGACATCTTTTGTAGCTGTGATATTATTTTTATTTTTATTTTTATTATAAATCCTTTGATGACGCGTATATTATGTATTGACACAGGAAATGACAATAGTGTCCTTAATTGAACTCAGGTTCGGGAAAGGACCCGGTTAGCGATTCGGACTCTTATGTTCGGGTCGTTACAAATTTGGTATCAGAGTAATGGTTCGAAAACTAGTAGGACGACGGGTAGAGGCCTACCTAGGGTTGTGTAGAAGGTGGCTTGCATTGTTTATGTGTATATGTGTTAAAGTGTTTGTTACCTAAGAAGTATGTTTACTTATTTAATTGTTTATGTGTTTACAACCTTAAAAGGGCATGCTTATTTGCTAGATGTTCACACGCTTAAATGTTTAATTGCTAAAATGTGTGTTATATGGCCATGATGATAAAATGTATAGATAATTGAAAACATATTAATTATGATATGATGACAAGTGTGATTTAGGTGGTAACGGCAAGTGGTAAGCACGGTGTGTGCAGTTTTATTTTAAATGATAATATGGTAAATAGTGAACACGGTAGGTGCAAGCATGTCTCGTATGGTATTGTGATGGTTATTTAGGCATGATTATGCAAGTATTTTTTTTATGAAAGACGGAGTGTTTAAATTTTTATTTATTTTTTTAAAAAAAAAAATTTATGAGATACGATTGTATCATTGTATGGGGTACGGTTGAGTATGGGATGGTTGCTAGTAAGGTAGAGTACTTGTTGCAGCATTGATGGTTGTGTAGGTTTTGACTTGAGTAGGCGAGGAACTCGGTTACTCTAATGTTATTTGGGGTGCTGGTTCTTATCGAATGAATGACGCGGACTTCTAGCTCGTGGATTAAGCTATTTAGTGTGTAATCATTCTGATCTTTTTTTGCATTTTGTGCGGTGCTTAGAGCACTACTTTAGAGCAGGTTCATATTTCTTGGCAAGGTGTCTATGTGGTATATGAGTTTCATATGTTAGTGCATGGGTTTTGTGATTGGAAGGGTCAGGTGTGACCTTAGAGGGTTTGTGTTTGTGACTTGGGTCACGGTTTGGTGCAGAGGTTCTTTTTGAACTGGTTTGTAGTGGGTGTGACAGGGGATTGCTTAAGTCACTAGTGTAATCTATGGGTTGTAGACGTGTATTTCGAGTATTTTGGTATGGTCTAAGGAACCGTGTTGGTTATGGTGGTTAAGGGAACTTGTTGGACTCTATGAGTCTAGGGTGACGTAGGCATTTACTGGAGTCATACCAGTACCGGGTGATCGACCGTTTGATGTGATTCAGTTCGTGGGCTATGAGAATCTATTTTAGAGATTGGTTTATCGAGGGGTGATTCCTATTTTGATAGCTACGGGAGTATGTTGCGGGTAATCGACTTTCGGTGAGTTGATTACATTATTCGGTTGATGAGCAGGGTTGTAGGTTGTCACGGTTGTCAAGAGGGTCTCGAGGTGAGGTATAGTGGTCAGTTTTAGTTGTGTAGTATAAGATTACACGATAAGGTAGGTAGTATGTGGTCATTGGTATGTTTGGTTGTTATGGATGAAGTGATTGATAATAGGCATTGTGTTACTAAATGGATTGTGTTTTAAAATTTGAAAGTTATGGACTGGAGTTGAATTTTATGTTGTGTCTGGGGTAGGAGGAGGTAGTGCTTGTTGTTTAAGGAATTCAAAGAGATAGACTGACGATTAGAATGTTTGGGACGAGGGTGACCTCGTAGATTTAGCTGGTAACATCATTTGACTTTTGTTGGGGCCAAGGGTGTTTTGAAGAACGGTAA